TGATCTCCAAACCTAAGAATTGGAGAATTACAATATACTTTTGGCACAATATGTCTGGGGAAATTCGTAAATATATTAAATATCCATGCCCTAAGGGATATAGTCCTCTGAAAAGACTGAGGTAGTGACCAAAACCTGTTGACTTATAAAGGTTAAATAGCACAGTCACAACTGTGCTATATAAAAAAATATACATCTTGTCACAGAATGACAAATAAGAGATTGAAAGAAATACTTTTTGGTTTTTATGGAACATGAAAATATCTGGATTAGAAAAGCATCTGGAGTAGACCTCAGAGGCTATTATCCTGCCTTCAGACAGAAACAAACATACTTAAGGCATTCCTGATGTATGTTCTGAAAATACTTTTTAACTAATAATGAACCTCATTGCACCTTTGCCCTTTCCCTGTGGAAATTTCTAACAGTTTGTAACCTTCCTGTTTCCAACAACTTTTTGTGCAATTGAAAATCAGCCATTACTCATTTCTGCTGAATAAGTTGTGAAGATTTCTTCATGGGTCTTTCATATCACTCTCCTGCTTATAGTGACATTATGAGATCCCTTTTCTCTTTCTTCTCTTTCTTCTCTCTTCTTTTGTTTTATCTTCTTTTTCTTTCTTCTTTTTCTCCTCTTTTCTTTTTTTTTTTCTTTCTTGCTGGAAATAGTCTGTCAGGTTCACTTAGGATAATTGTACCACAGATGGAACAAACAAACAACAAAAACCCTAAGAAGCTCATGGCTTTGTATTATTATGTGACAGAAATAACTTAATGTAATTTAACAAATGGAAAAAGAGATATCCAGAACACCAGGCTCCTATTAATCTGCCTTCAGTAGTCTTACTATTTTTTTGAAGAGAATAAGGAAATAATTGTCTTTCTTGAAGTAAATGCAAGGTAGAGTAGAATGCAGCAGATGTTTACCAACAGTCAATAGTTCAGGATTAACCTGATCTCCTTCTCTGATAAAGCACAGTATTTTTTTCTCAGATGGGAGAAGTGCAATAGATCTAGTTTGTCAGATGTCAATAAAACATTTGATATAGTGTAATGATGGAAGTTATTAGCTAAACCAGGAAAGACAGGGTTTAAGAGAAGAATTCCAAAGTGAGTTGTGAACTGTCAAATGGAGTTGCCTCTCGATTTATACTGATGGGCTAGAGGCTGGCTGAGAGATGTGAGTTGCTCAGAGATCAGTGCCAGAGACGATCCTATTTAATGCTTCAACCTTGGCTAAAAATTAGGAATATCTTGCTGAAACGTGCTAATGATAAAGATTCAGCCTAGAAAAATAAGCAGAAATATTTGGATGACACAGTGGAAGTTACAGTACAGAGTGATACAGGATTTCCATGTAAAGCTGGAGGTCATTTGTTGGAAGTGACGAAAAGAAGATGAGTGGAAATGTACTGAAGGTATTTAGTTCATTGAGCATTCTCAGGGTGACTTTGAGCCACTATTTTTTGGCAGTCAGCAAAATGCTACATATTAAGCAAAATAATTTCAGTAGAGAAATAAAAAAATGTTGATCAACTCGGAAATCACAAAACATTGGTAAAACCTCCTCTAGAATACTGAGGAGAATGCAAGTGCAAGCAGGAGCAGGGCTATGAGGAAGAACTACAGAAAATCTCTTTTCCAACAGGAAGACTTGTTCTCACAAAAAAACCAAAGAAAAGTTTCGATTGCTCTCTGCAAAGTATCCAGACGTAAATCCCAAAGGAAAACAAAAGTTGTTTGAGATACAAATCAATCATACAAAAAAACCAACAAACAAACAAAACAGCATTTGTAAACTCTCTATGCATAAATTTTGGATGGAAATTACAAGAAAGTATATCACACTTGAAAGGACGAAGTTCTAGACTTGCCTTTCAGAAGGAGTCACAGAACAAGAAAGTTCTCAAAATGGAATCAGCAACATTTTGTAAGAAGCAGTTCTTAAAATGTAGGTGTACGCAATGGGAAGACACAGAACCCAGTGATGAGGAACATACTTCCAGTTCTGTTTTGTAACGATTTCCAACTTCAAAACCTGCTTCTGGAGGGAAGTGCCATTTTGAAGGCTTGTTTTGTTGTGTTTTGTTTTGTATTGCTTTTTATGTAATGCAGCCTCATTTATAAAGGAGACTAAAGAATTTAATTGGCTAGAAACAAAGTCTTTTAATACAAAAGAACTGCAAATTGTTGATTCTGAGTGTACACATTTTGAGTCTATACTAAATGATAAACATAAGGTAGATAAACTATATTATTACATCTGCTTAAATATACAAATTTCTCTAGCAAGATGTATATGGACACTTTTATATTACTTTCATTCTATGGAAAGAAAAGTGTTTTAAAAAATAATGGAGTTTACAGTGATAAACCATATTCCTCATGATACATCTACTGAATTCAAAGAGGGGTCTTTTGTAATATCTACATTCTGGATACTTATACCTATTATAGCAGGTAAAGTCTGTCCAAAAAGTGGACAGATGAGCATCAGATTATGTTGCAGAAGTTTTCTAATGGATTTAACAGAAAATTAATCTTATAATTCTATCTGATAAAATAAACTAACAGAATAGTGAGGGCGGAGAGAGAACTTTGGGAAATGGTCTTATAGTCTGATTTAAACTTCAAAATGCACTAATATTAAGATATTGTTTACTCCCTTTTTCTAACTACATCATCTTTAGAACAGGAAAAATCAGCTGAGTAAAGAAATTTTGCAGATGCAGAGTACACTAGTCCAACCATCATAGTGGAAACATAAAATTAACATCAAGGAGTTTGCTGAATATATCTGGTTTTATGACTTAATACGCTCCATTAAATGATACAGATAAATATCTGATTTTCATTTTTCTGAGGGTAAAGTCATTTACCTCAGTTATACAGTCAATAATGTGGTATCTTTACTAGTTATGCTGCAATAAAAGTAAGCTATACTGCACTAAAATATGAAACTAGTTGCTAGCATTACGTATGAGACTTCATATAAATAGCTGGTGAAATTGATATAGGAAAATGTTTGGTTTGGTCATTGAAAAATTACTTTTCAAGTAATGTATGTTCAATGTAAATGAAGTAGAAAATACATAAAAGCAAGTTATTCTGAAAGGCTGGGAAAAATACAAAACCATATTCAGATTTAAGAACTTTTGTAGTTATTTATATCCTTGAATAGAAGTTACTTTTATGAGATTATTTTTGAAATGTCATTGCTCTTAGCTTTCCTTACTTTTTTACCCACCAGCTATTGATTCATGTAAATTGTTAATTGTTTGAATGTTTAGAAATGTGCCCTTGTTTTTCTTCTACAGTGTTGAGAACATAACTGAATAGCAGTAATCAGCTCTATCTATTCATTTAGCCTGCCACACTTAAAAAACTAAATGAATTCATTTAAACCATGTTGAAAACATAATTTATTGAACTGTGATAATTGCCTCAGGTGGTTTCACTGTATTTTACTGTGAAAAGAAAACTTTTAAATGTTTTTTTTTTTATTTTAGAAGAGCATTTTTTAAGAGCTATTTTTAAACAAATCAGTATTTTCTGATCTTTGGAAAAGAATGGGTAGCCTTGAATAATAAAGGCTGATATAGGATATAAGACAGCTATACTGTATATATTCTGAGGTGCTTATACTGGCATGCATAAAACAAAAAATTGTTTCTAAATGTGAGTACACAATGTTCAAATCTCTAATGTATATTGTGACAAAAGTTATTCTTGGCATATATTATATATATATATATATATATAAATATATATATAATAACATCTTGCAACTGTTAATTGGAACTTGAGGAAGTAGGAGACCATAAGTTTGTAGGGGGATGACACAGACACTTCCAGTTTCAATAAATTTCTACATAGGAAAGCAAAGATTTCCTTGGGTGGTGTTTATGGAAGTATTGTTAACTATCTCAGGAATACAATTAACTTTATCTTAGAGATAAGGATATTTAATTTTTAATGCATTTCTGAAAGTATTTTGTTTTTCTAATAGTGAGTCTCCTAGTTTTGATTTTTTAATGTTATAATAAAAAAATGTAGATTTGGCCAAATGAAAATGAAAGAAAAGCTCCTTTAGTTCTTGATCAAAAATGCAGAGCCTGTACTGAGTCTGATTGCAATAAAGTTAATAAGAAAAAAAAATTCTTTGAAATGGTATTTCAAAGCCCTTTCAAAGAAAAGAAATTTAATAGTTTCAGAGGTTAAAGTGCATGATAATTCCCATTTTTGACTACATTTGATAAAAAAGAACCTGGCCAAACTCAAGTCTTTAAAATCACATTGAGATAATATTTCAACCAATCAATATATGTTCTGCTATAACTTTGACTTTTTGCTGTTCCGCTGTTTCTTTTGCATTCCTTCAATTCTCCAGTAAGAGTGTAGTTGGAGAAGAAAAGCAAGTGTGTGGGAGATAAGTGAAGAATACTTGCCACAAATCCCTGAGAAGGAAAAACTTATACAGCTTTTATAGGGAAGCCTATTGCTTGTTTTAATAATGCAGCATTACTAATTTCCTTCCATCCTAGCCAGCAGGCAACCTCCCTCCACTTTACCCCATTGGTGACAACAGAAAGATTAATAGCAACTCAGTGGCATTTTGTTTTTAACTTTCAGTCAACTGTAGGACTGGACTCCTCGAGGCGTGACACCACCTGCACAGCAGGAGGAGATGTGACTTGTGATGTTCTTTTTGTTTTGACAGCTCAGTACCAGTCATAAGTAACTTAGAACCCTGATGGGTGACTCTATTCCACCTTTATTGTGCTTTTTTACTGTTTGTAAAAGGGCTGCAGCAAAGCCTTGACGATCTTTTATGCCAGTTGTGTGTTCAAATATAAATTCTCTTAATCTGCCTAAAATAACAAGGATTAATTACCAGACAAGGACATGATACTCTACTTGTGCAGCTCAAAATTTAACTTTATGTAAATCTTGATGCTCATTTAGATTTTTCTTTCTCTCTTTGCATCTCCTCCTGACAGGTGTGTGCCCAATCACTGTGAACATGGTGGAAAATGCACCCAGACGTGGGACAGCTTCAAGTGCACTTGTGATGGAACTGGATACAGTGGCGCCACTTGTCATAACTGTAAGCCATCTTGCAGTTTCAAAATGTCAATGGAGGAGGGAAGACACATGTTTTGGTTGAGATAAAAAGCCAAAGTCTTCTTTGCTGGTTGTTAAAGATCCTCAAACCTTTTTTGAAAGAAGTTGGTTTAATCATACTCCACTTTGTCTGCATAAGGATGTGTTTATATAGCACTGTGCTGCACCACACAAGGGATCAAAGCACTATAGATGTGTTAGTTGGGTGTACTGAGCAAACACTTTCTCAGCAATTGCACAGGAGGTAAAGTTTCAAATGGACACAGTGAATCTGCCCTAAGCTACCGGGGAGAGATGCTGACTGCTGCTACAGATACTTGTTCGGGTTGCTAAACCCAGAGTGTGTTTATATACTGATTATGAACCATTTTAAAATTTAATTATTTGCTCTGTGTTTATGGGTTTCTCAAATAAGAATATTTTCTATGAGCCCCACATGCCCTACACTACTAAAGCACAGAAAGAAGAAAGGTACAGTTGCTCTTTTAATAGGTACCTAACAATGCATTTATCTTCTGTTCCTTCTCTCATATGCTAAAAACTGGGATTTTCATCTGCAAATGTATTCTAAAATACCTAGAAGACAGAGAAAACATATCCAGTCTTTACTGTCATCACTTCTTTCTTTTGCAAAAAATCTCCTGATATTGACAAGAGAGAAAAAATGCTTTTGAACAGGTGAAAAGATGAAACTGAAGCCAGGATTTGTAGAGATACAAATTTATATTATTTTTTATTTACCTTAACTACAGCTGTGTAAAATTTTAAAAAGAAAATTGCGGAGTTGTTTCATTTTTAACCAAAAAAAACCAAACCAATGAGAAAACTTTGATTATTCACAGTTGTCTGGATTGCAACAAAAACCTATTCCATGGATAAAAATTATGTAAATGTAAGAGGGAATGTATTATATATATACATTAAAAAATAATTATTTTTATATATATATATATACATACATTTGATGGCAAAGTTCTCTGTGATCTAGCTACTGAAATGGTAAAACTGAAAGGGCTAAATGGTAAATGAATGTTAATTAAAGAGAAATATTTAAGATACCAATGCTTGGAGGAGTGATTTCATGGCAGCCTTTTTTCCACCAAGAAAGAATGTGCACAGTGATGGTGTGGTTGCATCTAATCTTTGGACAGAAAACTCAGGATTTACAGTGATTCAATATTTCAGTGAAAATTCAGTGAAAATTCCTACATATGTTGCAGAAATGCAGGGATGGAAGCTCAGTTGAGTTTATTTTCTCTAGTGAGCCTCTTAAAATAACTATCATCTTTAAGAGGAAAATGTATCGTGTTGGACTGCTGCAGCTGCATTCCCCCAGGAGCAACCAGTATCAAGGCTGTAAAAATATTCATGTAAAAAAAGTAAGCATGCACCCAACAGAGCCCACGTACACTGAATATACATATGTGTGTGTATATATATATATATATACACGACTGACCGATCAGATCACAGACAGAGCACACACATGAACATGACACCAATGGCCTCATCCTGCTCACTTCTCTGGCTGAGCGGGTCGCGTGTCCACAGAACAGTGAACATCCATATTCACGCAGAGTGGATCCCTCCACCAGCTCAGCTCAGGCACTCAGCCCAGTGGCTGGCCCTGGACTCCAGACTCCTCAGTTCCTGATGCCTAGATGTTGGATGGCACAGCAGGGTGTTTTTTTGGGGCTCACCCTCCTGCCATTGTCTGTCTGTGCTCCTTTGTGGGTGTGCAGACAAGCTGTTAAGACACAATTAAACATAGTTAAGCTTTCTTCTTGAGTTCCAAAGGGAAGTAACAAGGACAAGCGGATGGCATCACTTTTCTGAAATCCCATTTATTACAAAGGAATGAAATAATAACCCAAGGAGATGTGACATTTCATTTAATAGGATTTTCACCTGCCTTTTATGGATAAAACAATGCAATAAGGCAAGTAAAAGGCATTGCTGAACTGCAATATCAAAAGAGGGATTTGGAGTGTATTGTGCTGTCTTTCGCTGTGGAATGAATAAAGTGTATGGGATTACATACTCTGTCCAGGTCATTTGAAGACACATTGTTCAAGAACTTTTACCTTTTTAATTCAGGCAAAGTTTCTAACTTGGATGTGTAAGCTTTAGTTTTATTACATTTTTGTGTTTAAAGAACATAATCGTAATTTTTACCATATGTTGCTGTACTTTAGAAGTCTTCTTTCTTACAAAAGAAGGTTGAGCCGAAAGTTATTCACTTGATAGATGTCCTGTCAGAACGTGTGAAATCTTATGCCTTTCTAGAGTGTAGAAGTTAATGGCACAAAAACGAGTGAAATACAAAAATTTGAGCGTTAAGATATAGACTGAGACAACCTTAACTCTTCCTTTATTGAGCAGGCAATAGCTATCAGTATTTATAACAGCGTGTTCCAGCATTAGATACAACTACAAATAAGGAGGGGATTTATTAAAACTTGCCAGAGGTTATGCTGTCCTGAGGTCTGGGACCTCAGCTCTGCTACGATGCTGCTGACCCTACTGTCCTTTCCTACTTGTGCAGTGTGTGTGTGTATATTTTGACATGCTTGGTGTGCTGCCTTTTGCTTTTGAGTTTTGAGGTTTGTGGCAATAGCAGTACAAAAGACATACTAGGGGAGGAGGCAACTTGGAATGATGACTGGCAGGAGGTATAAAAATAGCTGAAAGCAATTTTAAACAGCATTGCAGATTGTAAGAAAAATATAGCAGTTGTCATGATTCTATGGAGCAGGAAAATATTTAAGTGCAGACAGCACTTGTTCAGTACCATTTTACTTAAAAATAAGATTATTTTACGGAACAAATTATAGTATACTCCACAGTAAAATATGGGGGGGGTTTCTCCATGTGTAGTGGATATAACAACATTTCTCAAAGAGGTTGGAGTCAAGACTATGTTAATGGGGACTGTAACTCCATAGCTGATTATAATGAGTTTGAGTTTTGCTGAACTTAAAGGAACAAGATAATTCTGTATTACTGAAAGGTTTTTTTCAGTGAATTGATTTTGCTTTGGTCAGGTAATTCAGTGCTTTCCTGAGCTTTTGACCTGAAACAAGGCAAAGCTTTGCAGCTTTGACTGAATTTCAGATTGCGGTTTTAGGTTTCTTTGAAGTTGAAATTCAAAGACAAACTCAAGGGATGAACTCCTTGAAGTGAAACAGAAAAAAATGTTTGCATGAAAACCTTATGAATCAAAATGAATTCGTTTCACACAGGTCTGACCCTAATATATTTATAGTATGATAGTGAAAACAAAAATTAGTCTAGAGAGGTAGAGAAATATGGGGCTTAGACATGCTAGGAACTATAAACCAAAAACAAACAGCTAGAGAAGGAAAAATTCCAAATGAATAAATCTGAAATAAAAACTAAAAATCTTACTATCTCTCCAATTGTGTAAATCAACTACACTTGTTTGTTATTTTAAGATTATGAAATAGTTTGCTTTTCAGAATATGACACTCTTACAGGAAAGCTCTTCAGCTTTCAGAGACACACCAGACACTCCAAGCTCTATGTCCACTATCTTGTTATTTGTCAGAGGCTTAAGCTGCCATTCAGAGGAAATGATAATTTGTTTCATCCAGCTACAGGTGGGTCCTTGGAGCTCAATGGTGAATTAACAAAAAATACTGGACAGTTCTATCTCTCAGTACATGGTAAATACCCTGGGAATCTACCAGGTTTCTTTAAGCAAACAGATATTCCTGCCCAGGGAAATGCTGTGGCCTGGCAAATATCACACTAGAGCATTGATTTTATCATTAGACAATACTAGAAGATAAATGAATGTATTTACTTGAAAATCATGATTTACAGTGATACATTTACAAAATGATTTAAAAATTAATTATTAGTGTTATAGTTAACAACAAGTACCATTCTTACTGCTTTATTGTGTCAACTATATTTTAAGCCCTGACTAATTAATATTTACAGCCTAGCAAACGCTGGCCTGCCCATGCAATATTCTAAAGTCTAGTGGTAAAAGGTTCCTGAAACCTTTGAGAACAGGAGCTCGTTTTCCTTATTACTTCTCTTTTCCATCATGATCTTCAGGTAACACTGCTCTGCTGCACTTTGCATGAGTTATACGTCTAGTTTTAGGTCTAATATTCTTCCTGGTGTTTACAGCCTCTTTAATACAGAGTGGTATAAGTTATCCTGTATCAGGATAACTAATGATTATGCAAATTTCTTTGTCTCAGATTTTTAATATATAGGTCAATGCATGCTTTCTCTAGAATCTTCATGTAAAAGAAACATATCAAAGGGCTTACAGAGTTTACCACGTTTATGATATACCTTCCACCTCCTGCATAAATTTGTTAGATTAATGAAAAGGCCAGAAGCACCTTCTTTGATCATATTTGCCTTCTCCTAATGATTTCCACTAGGAAAAATATTCACTTTGCACGCAAAAGGTTAGTCTTACTTATCATAGAGTCATAGAACAGCTTGGGTTGGAAGGGACCTTAGAGTTCTTCTACTTCCAACCCCTCTGCCATGGGCAGGGACACCTTCCACTAGAGGAGGTTGCTCAGTGCCCCATCCAACCTGTCCTTGAACACTGTCAGGGATGTGGTATCCACAGCTTCTCTGGGCAACCTGTTATAGTGTCTCACCACCCTCATAGTAAAAAAATTCTTCCTAATATCCAATCTAAGCCTGCCGGCTTTCAGTTTAAAGCCATTCTGTCTTGCCTTACTACTACAAGCCCTCCTAAATGTCCCTCTCCAGCTGTCCTGTAGGTCCCTTCAGGTACTGAAAGGATTATGAGGTCTCTCAGGAGCCTTCTCTTATGAGAGACAAGTTCTATTATTCTTTAATTTGACCTCCAAACAAACACTGTCCTTACTTTTACAGGTGTACAGATTCTTTCTGAGATATTGGACAGGAAAAGGTTTACTTATAAATCTTCACCTAGTCCATAGGAGGGGCTAACATCCAGATCAC